GTTTTAAGTTGATCATCTTGGAAGTCACACAGGTGAAGCGGCAACAGTGCTGGAAGTGATTAGCCAAATGTGCTATTTCTGTGAAATTAATGCCTCCGAGAAGTTTTTAGACGAGTCAAAGTGAATCTGGGTATATGCTTTACCTATGGCGAAGAAGAAGTTACAGAGAAGTCGACCCAAAGCACTATGAAAAGGCGCACTGGACAATGCTGTATGTACGCCTTTTGATCTATCGTTTTGGTCCATTATATGTGCACGCCACTGTACATACTTAGACTTTGTCATTATTTTACTTCGAACCGAAAATATTTGCTTTTCTTCGATTGATTTTAAAAATTTTTAAGACTAAATACGTAAAGCAGACTAGACGTTTTATTGAGTTTGAGGAGGGCACGCTCTGCTTGGTGGAGATGATTCACGTTTGGAGATAACTGCAGTGAAAATGATGATTACTAGAATAGTCATGCTTTACTTGAGATGCAATTTAAGGAGAAAAGGACATATTGAAGATACTATAGAGAATCTAAGGAAAGGGCAAAATATTGAAATTAAAGAAACTGTTGGCGCTAGTAGATTGATGAAGTCAGGAAGCCGAAAACCATTCAACTTGTTAAAGCGAAAGTGATTTCAGAGATGTAGATAAAGTAGAGCTAGAGTATAGGGTAAAAAGAAAGGAATCATGACGCCTTGCGAAGTGATTCTATTTGCGTGAAAAAAAATGGTCATCACATCGACAGTCGACACTTTAGTGGATGTGTTGGTATCGGTCATTGCAGATCGAACGATTGTGGTCGTATATTCTTCAACCGCTGCTGCTGGTGGTGGTAGTGTCAGTATAGCCGTCTGCTATTCGGAGGATATCATTGCAAAAAACGTATTTGGTTTCAATCATCCTGGGTGTTCTTCTGAATCTGTATCGTCATCAACTGGCCATCTCCCTTTTGAAATACTACCCAATTCTTTGATTAATTTTAATTTTCAAAAGTGGGGCATGAAAGTGAAGGCTCCTGGAATTTTAAACAAAAGCATGTTTTGTGAGCTGCAGACACCACTAGCCCTACTACTTTTTAGCTAGGAGGCCATTAGCATTCCTGGTGGGGGTGGGGGAAGAGCGTTACATCCACCTCAAGTGGTTGTCAAACCATCATTGCAATCCCTCGGCACTTGACAAGCTGTCATTAATAGAGGCACATTTACCTCTCCAATTCCCCCATAACTTACAACCCACATAGGTTTTTGAGTTGTCAAGTCTTTCCATTCACTCGGCAAAGTGAGACATTAAAAAGTGGTTGAAGAAGTGGAGTGAAAGGCATAAGAAGACTTAATTGAAAGGAAAGCTCTGTTAATTTGTCGGTGGCATGAGGCATATGCCTTAAACCTGAAACATCAGCCCACGAATCAAAAACATCAATTCGTTGTAAATAAATATTTTTCATCGTTACACGGATATGACAACTCAAGAAGTTAGTTAAATACAGAGTGAATAAGACAGAGGAAGAAAAAGTAATTCAGAGTAATCACTAAGTTAAACAATTAAGGATATAGTGAAAAATAAAGATTTAGAAAGGAAAGAACATTAGTTCAGAGAGTAGAAGGAGAGCACCAACTGCAGGCATGACGATGGAAGGCGAGGCGATTGCCCCTTTGGAGGTTGGTTTTGAGCGCTTTGATAGGGAAGGTAAATTGGAATTATCCAAATTCATCAGTGGATTTGATACTTCCCATTCCGTAAGTGAAGCTGTTTCAACCTCTACCTCCTCCGCTTTGGTGGCAACAACTCCAAAGAGCAGTAAAACCAGCACACAGAAAACTTTCATCTTATAAATGGACTTTGTAAATCCAGTAGCTATGCGTCGCCTTTTATACTCCCTCGAAATGCGTGACCTGACAATTAGCCGAATCCAAGCACCTTAAAAATAGTACTTAAAGTCATCACATTAAATGATGGTATAGAAGAATTTTATGGAATAAAATAAATCATAAGTGCTAATTTTACTTTGAGGCATTCTTTTGCGATCCTTGAGAGGATCTAGTTCTTAATAACTTGATATTATCTAATCACTCAGATCGGTGGTGGGATAAAAATTCTCGTTCACACCTTCATTAAGTCAGCTCCAGAATCGCAGCGAAGCAAAGTAATCCATAAAAAAACTTATTATTAATGTACGAAAACAAAGGAAAGACTGTATTCATAGCCGAAGGTCCATTTTATCGGAAAAGATAAGTAGCTGTGATAAATGAAGAGCCGGTGTAGTGTAGGTCCGGTTATTGCTGAACATGTCTGCGAAACTCGAAAAACTGTTCCTATTCATAGGCTGCTTTCTGTGACATCAGTGCCTGATGCTCACTTTCACTTCTAAGGTATTTGTACTTTTTAATCTAATTTACCTACCACTACTAGCAAAACGTCTCGCCAGGACTTGTCTGGACAGTAGTCGTGCATGGCACTTGAAAAAAAGGGGTAAGGGGAACTAGGTCGTTCCACCCTTGCAGCAATGCCCATAATCAAACGAATTTAAGTCTTGTACTTTATTTCACGCATAAATGTTTGAATTTATGATTCACAGAACTGAGTGATAAAGCCGGCATCGAAGGCAGTAGAATCAGTAGTCAGGGTAAAATAAGTAAATCGCCGATTGTTCAATGCCTTCTTCTGTTTAAGTAATTTGAATCCTAGAAATCCATTGTAAACTTTGCTTTTGTTGTTTAAAGACTTAAAAAAGAGTTTCAGGAACACAATGAAAACATGTCGTAGGCTTTGAAAGTGAAATAATGAACTACTTTAATATAGTGCAGCGTCCCGAGACCTC